ACCACAAATGCTCGCGCATTATCCTTTCAAGAGCGTCGTGTGCCACACGATTGCAAAAAAAGTACTCGCCACATTATCTTTTCAAAAGGGCGTCCTGCGCCCAGCCTGCGCCACACACGACTATATCACAATTCTGATATGCGTTGTCCTGGTCGTGCGCCACACATATGTGTCACAATACTCGCCGCATTATCCTTTCAAGGTCGTCGTGTGCCACACGACTGTATCACAATATTGGCCGCACCATCCTTTCAAGCGCGTCCTGTGCCACCCGATGCTGTATCACAATACTCGCCGCATTATCTTTTCAAGAGGGCATCGTGCGCCACACGACTGTATCACAATACTCGCCTTGTTCTCCTTTCAAGGGCATCGTTCGCCATACGACTGTATCACAATACTCGCCGCATTATCTTTTCAAGAGGGCATCGTGCGCCACCCGACTGTGAAACAATACTCGCCGCGTTATCCTTTCAAGGGCGTCGTGCGCTGCACGACTGTACCACAATATTCGCCGTGTTATCCTTTCAAATGCGTCGCACGCCACACGACTGTGTCACAATACTCGCCGCGTTATCCTTTCAAAGGCGTCGCACGCCACACGACTGTGTCACGATACTCGCCGCGTTATCCTTTCAAGGGCGTCGTGTGCCGAAGGCCCCAAAAGATTTGGAACTGGAAAGACACAGGCGCTTCGAGTTTGGCCGGCATTGCTTGTCTTAGTTTTGGGAGGTCGCATCTGTTCTGATGCTCATGTTGCAGGTGTTTTGCTGCTCCTTCACGCTTTTTCGGATTCTTCGTATATGTACCTTATGTTCGCCCATAATTGAATGAGAGCAGAGGAGGGCAGTGTACTTTATGTTCGCCCTTAATCGGAGAAGAAGAGCAGAGGAAGGCCATACCTTATGTTCGTCCTTAATTGAGGAGAGCAGAGGAGGGTCACGTACAAGGCTTACGAAATCTTACGTTCTTGAAGTAGAACCCCGCCCCCCCCCCCGGTGGGGGCTCCACCTTAAATAGCCCAAAAAGAAATAAGCAGCAAATGGTGTCGTCCACCTTAAACACGAAGTCCGGGGCCTCCCATGAAACCACCGTAGGGTACACGTTGGTAGGGACATGACCGGCCGCGTATCCTTTCGGCGTGGGGTGCGTGATTCAGAACGAGTGAACGCCGACGTCCGGGATGCCGACGGGACGTAAAACCGGGAGCAACTTTTCCTGTATCTACTTCTAACTAACTAGGTTCTAGCAAGGTCGTAGCCTAAAGCCAAGAACGGCAGGGCCTGGTGGTTTGTTTCTTTGAGGTTAAGGTTGGGGAGCAAAGGTTTAGGATCCATCTCAAGGAGACTTGATATGTTTTGATTACTTGCCCGTAAGGATGAAGTTTAACCATGCGTGCATACTCACATGGATTTGCATTTCTTGTTGCATGACTCACATATCTATGGCCCAAAAGGTATCCGATGTCCCAACATGTAGAGTTTGCATGAAGAAGTATGCAGACAGCTCGACTTCTATTGCTTTGTTGGGACATCTTAATCGAAGAAGAAGAGCAGAGGAAGGCCATACCTTATGTTCGTCCTTAATTGAGGAGAGCAGAGGAGGGTCACGTACAAGGCTTACGAAATCTTACGTTCTTGAAGTAGAACCCCGCCCCCCCCCCCGGTGGGGGCTCCACCTTAAATAGCCCAAAAAGAAATAAGCAGCAAATGGTGTCGTCCACCTTAAACACGAAGTCCGGGGCCTCCCATGAAACCACCGTAGGGTACACGTTGGTAGGGACATGACCGGCCGCGTATCCTTTCGGCGTGGGGTGCGTGATTCAGAACGAGTGAACGCCGACGTCCGGGATGCCGACGGGACGTAAAACCGGGAGCAACTTTTCCTGTATCTACTTCTAACTAACTAGGTTCTAGCAAGGTCGTAGCCTAAAGCCAAGAACGGCAGGGCCTGGTGGTTTGTTTCTTTGAGGTTAAGGTTGGGGAGCAAAGGTTTAGGATCCATCTCAAGGAGACTTGATATGTTTTGATTACTTGCCCGTAAGGATGAAGTTTAACCATGCGTGCATACTCACATGGATTTGCATTTCTTGTTGCATGACTCACATATCTATGGCCCAAAAGGTATCCGATGTCCCAACATGTAGAGTTTGCATGAAGAAGTATGCAGACAGCTCGACTTATATTGCTTTGTTGGGACATCTTAATCGAAGAAGAAGAGCAGAGGAAGGCAATACCTTATGTTCGTCCTTAATTGAGGAGAGCAGAGGAGGGTCACGTACAAGGCTTACGAAATCTTACGTTCTTGAAGTAGTACCCCGCCCCCCCCCCCCCCCGGTGGGGGCTCCACCTTAAATAGCCCAAAAAGAAATAAGCAGCAAATGGTGTCGTCCACCTTAAACACGAAGTCCGGGGCCTCCCATGAAACCACCGTAGGGTACACGTTGGTAGGGACATGACCGGCCGCGTATCCTTTCGGCGTGGGGTGCGTGATTCAGAACGAGTGAACGCCGACGTCCGGGATGCCGACGGGACGTAAAACCGGGAGCAACTTTTCCTGTATCTACTTCTAACTAACTAGGTTCTAGCAAGGTCGTAGCCTCAAGCCAAGAACGGCAGGGCCTGGTGGTTTGTTTCTTTGAGGTTAAGGTTGGGGAGCGAAGGTTTAGGATCCATTTCAAGGAGACTTGATATGTTTTGATTACTTGCCCGTAAGGATGAAGTTTAACCATGCGTGCATACTCACATGGATTTGCATTTCTTGTTGCATGACTCACATATCTATGGCCCAAAAGGTATCCGATGTCCCAACATGTAGAGTTTGCATGAAGAAGTATGCAGACAGCTCGACTTCTATTGCTTTGTTGGGACATTCTTTTCGACGCAAGCCCGGCTGACTCGGGCAGGAGAAAGGCCTCGGGAGCCAGCTGCCGTGATGTTTGTGGGGCTTTGTGCATTGGTGGGAGCGGGCATTTGATTCAAATTTTAGAAGCCCCAGGCGGCTGCATGGAGGAGGCCCCAAAAGATTCGGAAGTGCAAAGATTCAGGTGCTTCGAGTTTGGCCGGCAGAACGGTTTGCAGGCTGTGTTTGGTGGTGAGGCTGCCCGTTCTTGGTGGAAAGTTCAAGGCTGCGACTGAAAAAAATCTAGGGGCCCGAGACTGTTTCTGCACACTGCATGGAATTTGTAAACAGCCAGCATGGTGCATTCCCATTCTGTCTGGTTGAGTGCTTTGAGCTTATCTCCGCTGGCTGTTCATCCCGCCTTTGCATCAGTCCGTAGCTGAGATCCTGCGCTGCATGCCATTCACGTGGCTTGGCTCTTTTTTTCGGTAGCAACGAGGTCGCCTGACATGGCCCGCTACTTCCCTCAATCTTGCGCAAGCACTGGGCAGGCGCGGCCATGTATTGTTAATGCCAAGCAGGAGCACACCCCGAACACTTTGAAAATGTGAGGAGTTCTTTCGTGGCCCAAGCTGGGCCGACCTCTCCGAAGTTTCTGCCGCAAGCTTGGAGTTCGTGTAACAGCATAGAATACCAGGATACTCTCGCGAGTGAAGCCGTGAGTTTGTGCGGTCCAGAGAACATGGTCGAACAGGCAGAACCGTCGATGGGTGATGCAGCAGGCAAGCGCAGAGAAATGCTGCATTTCTACCGTGCCTGATGTCTCATAGATTTGCTGATGGAACATGCCTCGGACCTGTGCTCGACTGAAGCGTTGCTGTTAGGCCGGCGGGTGTCCAAGAAGCGCCGCATCTTGAAAGAGTACCGTAAGCGGCAGGCGTGTAATGCTCGATTGCTCGATAATGATGTCAACTGTATTGGCTTGGGTTCACACGCAGTGCGTGACATGGCTATATGTGAAGGCGCGCCAGAATCGAAACCGAGCTGCCAAGCGGAGCACCTTGGCAACATACAAGACCATAAATGAATCTCACAGCGTGGCAACTTTGGAGCTCATATAGTTGTCACGGATATGAAGGAAGGGCGCAGACCGGAAGCTTATTCTTCGATTGGGAACACCTCGATCAACAGGACCTGCTCATGGATTTGTTGTTGCAGTGACAGGTCGATGTGTTCCAGGGAACTTGGCAACCCTGTGCGTTTCGTCGTATGAAATCCATCTGCAAGGAAATCAATGACGCAGCAACTACTGTGGTGAGCTCGGACCCTGTCCCTTTCTGAGTTTGTTATGGAACACACGGTACAGGCAGTGCTTTATGCGGTTACATTGCACGTTGAAACAGCCAGCGCGATAGAATGTTTCAGGAAAACTTTCCGCAGGACCCGAAGGACAGTGTCCGATCAGACACGCCCGCCATTTTTTCGATTACTGTAAAACTGCAAAAGGGTGTCGTTGGGTGGTCAATGGAGCGGCCAAAGGGGGCCCGAACTTGGACGCTGAACATGCAGGCTATATGTGGCAATGTGGCACACGCAGGAGAATACATTGGAACGCTTATGTAAACCTAAATACCGCCTGTACTGAGATTCCTAGTGGACCCGTCGGAACAGGCGGAAATGTACTTCGAACCCCTAGGCGTCCATGTAACATCTCCCTTTCCATATTAGGTTAGGCAGGGGTTTGGCTGGCAAGCAGGACGACACTGGTGTAGGGGTTTGGAGCCCCGTTGCTGGCCTCGATGTTGCAGAGGCAGGAGACATTCATGCGCTGGATTTTGTGGGCAGTTAGCGTGCATGGACGTGTGCGTCAGGCTTTGCAGGCGAATTTTCCGCCGGATGTGGAGGCACCTGGTAACCAGTACACACGCCTACGCTGCACACACACAAACACATATGCACACACACCCACCCACGCACGCACGCACGCACGCACACACGCATGCACACACGCACACACGCACACGCGCACACGCACACGCACACACACACACACACACACGCGCACACACACACACACACACACACACACACACACACACACACACGCGCAGGATCCGCTGGAGAACGTGGAGCGGGACTTGGAGGCGATCGTTGATGCCATGGAGGCAGCGGAGGCAGAGGCCGGATTTAGCACATTGCGCCGATATGCAATACGAGGCACCTCTCCTGGAACAAGAGAGTTGACAGCAGGATGCCCGGCGCCACCAGCGAGGTGTCGTGTCTGAGGGAGAGGAGGCGGGGCCCGAAGAAAGACTGAAGCTTGAAGGTTTCGGATAAACTTATACAGGAACGGAGTTGGACGGAGTACTGTAAGCTCAAGGAATATATATGGAGGAAACCAATTAATCAATCAATCATGCTCCTGCTTTTTTGGATAGGTGGACGACTCGGACGACAATTTCAATCAGTTCACCCGGCGCGATAGCAGCTGGGCACGTGGTCTGTTGGCCAAAGCGGTACCTCCGCTGAACCACATCGTCCTCGATGATGCCTTCCTGGACGCACTGTGCAGCCAGCCACTGCACATGCAGGTCCTCCAGCCTCAAACCCAGCTGCAGCGCTTCGAGCACAGGCTGGCATCGTTGAGCGACGCAGCGCTTACCCAGATTATGAGGCGGCAGCTCAATTTGGCAGCTCTCCAGGACCAGTTGAAAGCCGCTCGCGGAACTACAAAAAAGAGAAGCATTCGCAAGCTGATAAAGCGGGCCAAGCTTTCTGATATATTCTGGAGTTTCAACGCATCACAGAGACAGGGACTCTTGAGAGATGCCGGGGTGTACATTTTTGAAACCCCTACGACTGAGCCAGAAGAGCTCCCGACACCGCCGCCTTCTGACACGCCGCGCCCGCGGCCTTCTCAGCGGCGGCGATGCTGCAGAAAAGAGACCCCGTCAGATGCCCTTTGGCAGGGCTGGGAGGCGGTGCGACTGGCAAGATGCGAGTCCAGCCATCTTTCCCGAGATCTCTGCAGCGATATATGGAGCACAAGTTGGGGCACGCGCAAGGTGAAGCCTTGTGCCTTGTTCCGCTGGAGCGAGGAGCATCCACTTCAGCCCGCCTGGGTGCAGCTTTTGTTCAGTAAGCCCGAGAAGGGCAAGTGCTACTACAGCGAGAAAGCCCTTTTTGATAGCCCCGTTGTACGGGAGATGAGCCGACACTATAGTATGCAGGATGTCTACAACCGCCTGCCCCTCCTTGCCACTCCATCGAAGACTTATGAGCTTGGTTTTGAAGATACAGTCTGCGTTGTGGATGATGTCGTCAATGCTGCAGGAAAAAATGTCACCGACGGCTTTGCCGAGATCAGTTTGGACTTTGCCCTAAAACATGGTCTGGTGACAAAAGAACAAGTGGAGCAGGGCATCTACCACGCCATACAGTTCCGTGGCTTGTTTAGAGACATTGCCTCCGGCGAAATTCTGCTGGCTAAGGGAATGTTGGCGGTGAGGAAAGGACTGCAGCGTGCGCTGTGCCTACGTCCAAAGTGCATCAAAATGCGGTTCAACCCTACAGCCGACTTTGCAGCAGCCTGTAAGCCTGGCATCGATGTGGTGCAGACCACTGCAGCGGCGCAAGGCGCTCCCAAGCTGAATGCCCAGCTGTGTGCTGCACTGGGTCTGCGGACCTGCCTCATACGAGGCCGTGCAGAAAGATTGGAAGCAAGGGCCGAACTCCGATCATTCTGTAGGGCTCGGCGGCAGGAGACACTTGGCGACATCGAAGCTTCGTCCTGGGGCTTTAGCCCTCCAACGAAGCCCTCCAATCCCGGAGCTACTGCAAAACCGCTTCTGCAGCAAACGCGCGCGCCACCAGATGCGCCTCAAGCACCTCACGCGGTGCCCTTTCACCGTGTAAAGCTGACATACGTGGAACAGGTAGAGAGGCCGACACTTATGCAGGAGCTCGCCGCGGAAGCGGAGCTGGTCAGGCCATGGTGCCTCCCCGAGCTGGGCACAAAAGACGCGCTGCTGCGTGGCGGGCGACGCTTCAACAAGAGCATTGCCCGTCAAAACAACAAGCCGCAGCTCAGCCTGCGGGGGCATGGAGGCGCGTGCTTCGCCCTGCCCGACTTGTGGGGCAACCTGGGCCCACAGTGCTGCCACATCATCTGCCAGGGGCGCGTCTTGAAAGGGACATTCGCTGTTTGGAGAAACCCTTGTGTGCTTCCGTCGGATGTGGAAGTTTGGGAAGCGATTGACCTCCCGGCGAACGCAGATCTTGTCCCAGACAACTGCATCATCTGCAGTGTCATTGGGGACGGCGTGGTGGCGCTGGCAGGCGGCGACTACGACGGAGATGTCGTTTTCTTCACGGCCGACTTTGACCTCCTCGAGTTTCTGGCCAACACGCCAAGTGGGGTGGATAATCCCCAGTTGAGGGCGGTTGAGGAGGCCGTCGGCGCGGCTTTGGTGCAGGAGGCTCCGGTTCAGGAGTACACCCCTTTGGACTTTTTGAAGTACTGCGCCACAGTCCCCACATTGGAGACACGCGGCTACACTTGCGCCAACGCCGAGAGAGCGCAGCTGGTTGCCTGGAAGTCCCGCAAGCCCCTGCGGTCCGGCAGTCTCCAGCGCGCTGTGGAACTGGGGCACATTGCGCACAAGGCCTGGTCAGCATTATTGTCCTAGGTAGTATTAAGGAAACCCGTTAAAGGGAAACCTTTTCATCCCCACTTCTAGCTGTCTTAAAAGGGACCATATCGAAAGGGTCTGTATCCCTAAGGGTCTCCCTAATCCTAACTCCTAGACTGATCTTTTACCCAGCACTGGAAAAATATTTTTCTTCCAGCGGACGGAGAATCGAAGCTACCTTGTATTATGGTCGGACATGACATGTTCTTTCCTCAATTCGCCATTGCCTTGATTGCGCAGGCCTACGATGCCCCAAAAAGCATTCGGCGCGGGCCGTGATGGAGCTCAGCCGCTCCCAACTGAAGGCCGCTGGCCTGAGCGCGCGGGCTGAGCGTTCCACTTTATACTTCAGCAGAAAGCTGTTGAAGCCCGAGGTTTGCTGTAACAAGCGTGTCCCCTTTCAAGGGCGCAGCTTTTTAAATTTTCCGCTTGACCTGGGCAAGATCTGGCTTCCTTGCAGAAAGCTGCAGCTAAGCGAGGAAGCTGCGCCCTGCATCCGGCGGGCCTTGCTCCGGGGGCGTGATTTAAGGGTTGAGTGTCAGCCAACCGCTATCTACAGCGCAGCCCGGCACGTCGCCCTATACCTGGCTTGGAAAATTCCAGGCTTTGCGAAGGCTTTGGAGACCGGGTCGGCGGCCTTGCTCAAAGCAAGCCTGAAGCGCCAGCGGAGGTGCAGGCCGGTGAAGAGCCTTTTCACGCTTCTTTACAGCTTACTTCCTTGATCGCCGCAAGAGAGGAAAAACGTAGCGTAGCGCGTTGTCATACTCTCGCCCAATACACGATAACAGTTTCGATGAACTTTTGACAGAATATTCGCGATAAGTTCCCCATCAGAAACCGCGAGTAGAAGTAAGTTGCAGATGGTCGAGAATAGATTTGTCGAATAAAATTCGCGATAGCTTTCCCTGAACAGACACGAGGAGTGATAAATTGGAAATGTTCGAGACACACTGTTTTCATGTTCTCATCCAACCCGCGACAACAGTTACGATGAAAATCTGATAGAAATTGTTAAGGGACTGCTACTACTAACAACTGCTTTGCAGCTATACGACAGCGCCGGCCACGGTACGACCACCGGCAGGGCTGCCACGCTACTGTTGACTTGCTCCTCGTGCTCTTGCTGCGTTATTTGTAGTCCTATATTGGTCGCGTTGCTCCACGCTGCTTCTAAGACAGAACAAGGATGCTGGTTGGGCCACTTCAAAACCAAACCATACCAAAGCAGTTCTTGTCTCTTTGCAGACGAGAGCAAAACGCACATAGACGTCACCGATGTGCGTTTTGGATTGGCCAGATTTGGACACTTCAAAACCAGACCATACCAAAGCAGTTCTTGTCTCCTTGCAGACAAGAGCAAAACGCACATAGACGTCACCGATGTGCGTTTTGGATCGGCCAGATTTGGACACCTCAAAACCAAACCATACCAAAGCAGTTCTTGTCTCTTTGCAGACAAGAGCAAAACGCACATAGACGTCACCGATGTGCGTTTTGGATTGGCCAGATTTGGACACTTCAAAACCAAACCATACCAAAGCAGTTCTTGTCTCTTTGCAGACAAGAGCAAAACGCACATAGACGTCACCGATGTGCGTTTTGGATTGGCCAGATTTGGACACTTCAAAACCAAACCATACCAAAGTAGTTCTTGTCTCTTTGCAGACAAGAGCAAAACGCACATAGACGTCACCGACGTGCGTTTTGGATTGGCCAGATTTGGACACTTCAAAACCAAACCATACCAAAGCAGTTCTTGTGTCTTTGCAGACAAGAGCAAAACGCACATAGACGTCACCGATGTGCGTTTTGGATTGGCCAGATTTGGACACTTCAAAACCAAACCATACTAAAGTAGTTCTTGTCTCTTTGCAGACAAGAGCAAAACGCACATAGACGTGACCGACGTGCGTTTTGGATTGGCCAGATTTGGACACTTCAAAACCAAACCATACCAAAGCAGTTCTTGTCTCTTTGCAAGCAGACAAGAGCAAAACGCACATAGACGTCACCGATGTGCGTTTTGGATTGGCCAGATTTGGACACTTCAAAACCAAACCATACCAAAGCTTCGTGGGCTCTGTGTGCCAGACCAAAGAGCAAACCACATAAACGCACCGAGTGCTGGGGGGAATTGCCGGGGTGGGAGGGGGGGGTGAGGGAGGGGGGTGGGAGGCGGGGGGACAGATTTGACACTTCAAAACCCAACTACCAAATCAGTTCTTGGCTCCTTGCAGACAAGCAATGCCACTCCAATCAAAGAGAACGCACATAGACGTCACCGATGTGCGTTTTGGATTGGCTAGATTTGGACACTTCAAAACCAAACCATGCCAAAGCAGTTCTTGTCTCTTTGCAGACAAGAGCAAAACGCACATAGACGTCACCGATGTGCGTTTTGGATTGGCCAGATTTAGACACTTCAAAACCAAACCATACCAAAGCAATTCTTGTCTCTTTGCAGACAAGAGCAAAACGCACATAGACGTCACCGATGTGCGTTTTGGATTGGCCAGATTTGGACACTTCAAAACCAAACAATACTAAAGTAGTTCTTGTTTCTTTGCAGACAAGAGCAAAACCCACATAAACGTCACCGATGTGCGTTTTGGATTGGCCAGATTTGGCCACTTCTAAACCAAACCATACCAAAGCAGTTCTTGTCTCTTTGCAGACAAGAGCAAAACGCACATAGACGTCACCGATGTGCGTTTTGGATTGGCCAGATTTGGACACTTCAAAACCAAACCATACCAAAGCAGTTCTTGTCTCTTTGCAGACAAGAGCAAAACGCACATAGACGTCACCGATGTGCGTTTTGGATTTGGCCAGATTTGAAAACTTCTTCTTTCTTCACAGACAAGAGCAACATGCTTCTTTCTGTAAGGCGGACAAGATGACACATTTCCGGCCTGGAATGTGTCATGCTTCAGACCTTGCAAATTTCAAGGACGCTATAAGTTTGTAACGCCAACGTCCACCCATGAACTTCGTATCTTTGTATGGTACAGACACTGCAAATTTCAAGGACGCTGTAAGTTTGTAACGCCAACGTCCACCCATGAACTTCGTATCTTTGTATGGTACAGACTCTGCAAATATCAAGTGCCTGGCAATCTTTAATCGGTATGTTGGGCCGTAGCCATGATTACAAACAAGGACAAGCCGTAGCGGCGGTTACAAGCTTGTAAGGAAATTGGTTTATCAAGAAGCTTGTTCAATTGTTCATCGGTATGTTGGGCCGTAGCGGTGACTACAAACAAGGACAAGCAACTGGTGCCTGGATTTGGGGCTGGGCCTGGATTTGGGGTCTGGAGCCTGGATTTGAGACCTGGGGCCTGGATTTGGGAGGTCTGGAGCCTGGATTTGGGGCCTGGGGCTTGGATTTGGGACTAGGCCTGGATTTGGGGTCTGGAGCCTGGATTTGGGGCCTGGCCTGGATTTGTCGTCTGGATTTGGGGCTGGATTTTGAATCTTGGATTTGGGGTGGGCCTGGGAGCCTGGGGTCTGGGCTTGGAGGGCCTGGTGCCTGGATTTGGGGCTGGGCCTGGATACGGGATTTGGGGTTTGGGACCTGGATTTGGTGGATTTTGGGCCTTGGATCTGGGTCTGGGAAGGTGTGCCTGGATTTGGGGTCTGGGCCTGGATTTGGGTCTGGGATTTGGATTTGGGGTTTGGGGCCTGGATTTGGGGCTGGTTTTGGGCTTTTTTTGGAGCTTGGATTTTACAAGTTTGTGGAGAAATTAATTTATCAAGAAGCTTACTCAATTTTTAATCGGTGTGTTGGGCCGGCTGGGCTGGGCTGGGCTGGGCTGGACCGGTTTGGCTTGGCTGGCTGGGCTGAGTTAGAAGTTGAGGTCGTGGTTTTGCGAAATTGGTTTATCAAGAAGCTTGTTCAGTTTTTGATCGGGTGGCTGTTTTGAGTTGGCTGGGCTGAGTTAATGTTTGAGGTTGTGGTTGTGCGAAATTGGATTATCAAGAAGCTAACGCCAGTTTTAATCGAAATGCTGGGCCTTAGCGGTGGCTACAAACAAGGACAAGCAATTTCTATTTATCACTTTCTTGAGGGTTTAGGGTTTCAGGCTAGCAGGGGGCTGCTTACTCCAACGTGGATAGGACGTGCCCTAGTTAGGGCTGCTTACTCCACGTGGAGTATGGGAATAGGGGCGCAGCAAATGCCCTAGTAGGTCTGCCTTACTTAACGGTAGGAGTGCAATTGTTCCCCTAGTAGGGAGCTGCTTACTCCAACGTTGGAGTAAAGCGTTCCCTAGCAGGGGGCTGCCTTGCTCCAACGATGGAGTAAGAGCGTGCCCTAGTAGGGGGCTGCGTACTCCAACGTTGGAGTAGGAGCGTGCCCTAGTAGGGGGCTGCTTACTCCAACGTTGGAGTAGGAGCGTGCCCTAGCAGGGGGCTGCTTACTCCAACGTTGGAGTAGGAGCGTGCCCTAGTAGGGGGCTGCTTACTCCAACGTTGGAGTAGAAGCGTGCCCTAGTAGGGGGCTGGTTACTCCAACGTTGGAGTAGGAGCGTGCCCTAGCAGGGAGCTGCTTACTCCAACGTTGGAGTAGGAGCGTGCCCTAGTAGGGAGCTGCTTACTCCAACGTTGGAGTAGGAGTGCCCTAGCAGGGGCTGCTTACTCCAACGTTGGAGTAGGAGCGTGCCCTAGTAGGGGGCTGCTTACTCCAATGTTGGAGTAGGAGCGTGCCCTAGTAGGGGGCTGCTTACTCCAACGTTGGAGTAGGAGCGTGCCCTAGTAGGGGGCTGCTTACTCCAACGTTGGAGTAGAAGCGTGCCCTAGTAGGGGGCTGCTTACTCCAACGTTGGAGTAGAAGCGTGCCCTAGTAAGGGGCTGCTTACTCCAACGTTGGAGTAGGAGCGTGCCCTAGTAGGGGGCTGCTTACTCCAACGTTGGCGTAGGAGCGTGCCCTAGTAGGGGGCTGCTTACTCCAACGTTGGAGTAGAAGCGTGCCCTAGTAGGGGGCTGCTTACTCCAACGTTGGCGTAGGAGCGTGCCCTAGTAGGGGGCTGCTTACTCCAACGTTGGAGTAGAAGCGTGCCCTAGTAGGGGGCGGCTTACTCCAACGTTGGAGTAGGAGCGTGCCCCAGTAGGGGGCTGCTTACTTGAACGGTGGAGTAAAAGCGTGCCCTAGTAGGGGGCTGCTTACTCCAACGTTGGAGTAGGAGCCTGCCCTAGTAGGGGGCTGCTTACTTACGTTGGATGAAAGCGTGCCCCTATAGGGGGCTGCTTCTCCACGTTGTAGTGAAGCGTGCCCTATATGG